TGATTGCATTGTTGTAGAGTTTAAATTCGAATGTAAAGACAGCCGTTCTAACAGAAAGACAGTCAATAAAAATGTGTTGATCTTAACCTTTAGAAGAGAGGTTATTTTCATGACATTATTTAATTTTTGATACTTTACAGTAAATTGCAATTTTTTGTTTAAATTCTTGTGGAAATGGTTTGTATACAATTAAGTTAAAAGATTAAGACAGATACCCCATTTGTATTAAAATGTTAAAGATAATTTATTGGCAGGGGGCTATCAGGCAAGGGGACAGGGTCTGACCCTCAATTTAAGTGTCTGTTAAATAAATTTTTAAATGTTAAATATGTTGAACTTTGAATATGTTGAGCACAGAGAAATAATTTTCATGACATCATTGAATTTTGACTTTCCCTTGTCATTTTGTAACTGTATATTAACATTCCTTTCCTAATATTGAGTACATATTATGTAATAAATGTACTAATGATTGCCCCATCTCAGTTTAAACATCTGTTTGATATGGAGCATAGTAAAATGAATATTTCATTAGGAAAATACTATTGCTAGAATAGCAACAGCTGTATGATGTAAGTTTATTCACACATTGACAAAAAATGTGTTGGAAACATGACAGTATTTGAGTGTCTGTTTACATGATGCTAATAAATTGTGAATTAATTGATAAGCAAAAGGTCAGTAAAACTGTGATATAAGTACTTGTATAATTATGTGCAGTAGTTTCAAATTGCTACTGAACAGGATCTGGTTCAAGTATATCATTCCTTCTGAATGTGATAAAATGTAATTTTGAAAAATTCTACAGAAAGTGAACTTCAATTTTTTAATTGCGTGTTTGCACAATTATTATAGATATATTCACTCTGTTTCTTATTAAGAAAAAAAAAGAGATTTTTTTCCAGAAAACATTTGTATGGGTTCCTCGCTAGAATTAGGGTGCTCTACAATTTAAGTTGCAGCAAAATATTAAACCAGATAACAGACTTTTGTATTCGTTAAATTCTGCCCGGGGCACCATGAAAAGCAGAGCTCTAGAGTAGTTGTTTGGTGGCAGTTACAATGTAGGTGTGATCAAAAACCTTAGAATTGTCACACCTGGGGTGATCTGCCCCCCCATCCCTCCTCCCACTTCCCTTAAAAAAAAAGAATAATAATTAAACAAGAACCGGTTGAACCGGGTGATGCTCCCCGAGAAGGTTCTGGACACAGGAAAGTATAAAAAAAATGAACAAAGGGCAAAAACTCCAAAATTAGGCAAAGCGGAGTTATGTTTTTTTGCACTGCACTTCTATTCAATGAGATCTATTTATCTATGAAGTTTCCTGATGATATCAGAGTTATGTCCCGGGTAAAAGTCAAAGTGTAAAAATGAACAAAGGGCAATAACTCCAAAATTAGACCAGGCTTTGTTTAGGTTCTTTAAGCATTGCAGTTCTATCCAATTATATCTAGTTACCTACAAAGTTTCATGTTGATATCTCTAATAGTTTTAAAGTAATGTCCAGGACAAAAGTCAAAAAGTAAAAATATACAAAGGGCAATTACTTCAAAATAAGGCAAGTCAGAGTAATGATTCTTAAGCAATGCACTTCCACCCAATGAGACCTATCTATCTACAAAGATTCATGTTGATATCTCTTATAATTTTAGAGTAATGTCTCAGACAAAGTTCAAAGTGTCAAAATGAACAAAGGGCAATAACTCCAAAAGTAGGCAAGACAGTGTTACAGTTCTTGTGCACTGCAAACTTACTCAATGAGATCTATCTACCTACAAAGTTTCATGTTGATATCTCTTATACATTAAGAGTTATGTCCCGGACAAAGTTCAAAGTGTAAAAATAAACAAAGGGGGATAATTCAAAAAGTAGGCAAAGCAGAGTTAAGGTTCTTGTTTACTGCACACCTACTCAATGAGATCTATCTACCTACAAAGTTTCATGTTGATACCTCTTATACTTTTAGAGTTATGTCCCGGACAAAGTTCAAAGTGTAAAATAATCAAAGGGGGATAATTCAAAAATTAGACAAGGCAGAGTTACGGTTCTTGTGCACTTCACACCTACTCAATGAGATCTATCTACCTACAAAGTTTCATGATGATACCTCTTATACTTTTAGAGTTATGTCCCGGACAAAGTTCAAAGTGTAAAATAAACAAAGGGGAATAATTCAAAAATCAGGCAAGGCAGAGTTACGGTTCTTGTGCACTGCACACCTACTCAATGAGATCTATCTACCTACAAAGTTTCATGTTGATACCTCTTATACTTTAAGAGTAATGTCCCGTACAAAGTTCAAAGTGTAAAATAAACAAAGGGGGATAATTCACAAATTAGGCAAGGCAGAGTTACGGTTCTTGTGCACTGCACACTTACTCAATGAGATCTATCGACCTACAAAGTTTCATGTTGATACCTCTTATACTTTTAGAGTTATGTCCCGGACAAATTTCAAAGTGTAAAATAAACAAAGGGGGGTAATTCAAAAATTAGGCAAGGCAGAGTTACGGTTCTTGTGCACTGCACACCTACTCAATGAGATCTATCTACCTACAAAGTTTCATGTTGATACCTCTTATACTTTTAGAGTTATGTCCCAGACAAAGTTCAAAGTGTAAAATAAACAAAGGGGGATAATTCAAAAATTAGGCAAGGCAGAGTTACGGTTCTTGTGCACTTCACACCTACTCAATGAGATCTATCGACCTACAAAGTTTCATGTTGATACCTCTTGTTGTTTCAAACTTATGCCCCGGACAAGAAAAGGGGACGGACGGATGGACGGAAAGACGGATGGACGGACAAGGTGGCGACTATATGCTCCCCCGAAATTTTTTCGGGGAGCATAAAAAAAATGTAATAATGAATAATCAATTGCATACAATAACACAGCCCACCTTCATTTGTATAGGAAACTTCGTAACATGATTGCTAATTGTTTTTCCTTCTCTCAGACATGTTGTATTTCCAAGACAAAGGCATTAATCAGATTTGTTTGTTAGATTGTGTGCAAGTTTTTTCTGAGCCAATAGTGTCATTGACGCTTGGAATAGTGGATTTCTTTAATTGAATATTGATAAAGAATGACAGTTTTATTTCTGTCCGTTTTGATCTGTTTTTATTTAGCTCACCTATTTTTGTGCCCCCCTTCAAAGAAGAGGCTGTATATTGTTTTGCTAATGTCGGTCGGTTGATCTGTCCGTCAATAGACCACATGGATTCCACTGATTATCTTAAAAACAATTTATCACAAAGTCTTCATATTTCTCATATTGATTGGTCATATGTAGTAGATTAACCTCTATTGATTTTGGGGTCACTATAGTTCAAAGGTCAAGCTCACAGGGGCCTTAAATGTCAGAATGGTTTCCGCTGATTATCTTGAAAACGATTTATCACAAAGTCTTCATATTTCACATATTGACTATTCATAACTAATAGATGACCCATATTGATTTTGGGGTCACTAGTTCAAAGGTCAAGGTCACAGGTGCCTTAAATGTCAAAATGGTTTTGAAAATTATTTGTAACAAACTCTTCATATTTCACATATTGATTGTCATATGTAGTACATGACCCTATTGATTTTGGGGTCACTAGTTCAAATGTCACGGTCACAGGGGTCCTAAATGTCAGAATGGTTTCTGCACATTATCTAGAAAACTATTTATTAAAGAGTCTTCATATTTCACATATTGATTGGTCATATGTAGAAGATGACCCTTTTTTTTACGGGTCACTATTGCAAAGGTCAGGGTCACAGGGGCCTTAAATGTCAGATTGGTTTCCGCTCATTATCTTGATAATTATTTATCACAAAGTCTTCATATTTCACATATTGATAAGTCATAATCGGGTCAATAATTCAAAGGTCAAGGTCTTTTTATTTCACATATTGATTGGTTATAACTAGTAGTCATTATTTTTCTTTTTTCCATAACTGAACACTTCCATGTACCCATTTATGGCAAAATTACCAAGGGCTAGAAAGGGGAGCATAATTGTCGTTTGACATCTCTTGTTGTTTATTTAAACCTTGACCTTTGAATTAGTGACCCAATTATGACTATAATCAATATGTGAAATATGAAGACTTTGTGATAAATAATTATCAAGATAATGAGGGGAAATATTCAGAATTTCACCTTTACTTATGTAAATTTTATGCTCAATAATGCTACTTTTAATTTGGTACTGTCTTTGAAACTGAAAAAAAAAACAACCAAAAAAAATCTCAAAACATTAAAAAAACAAGTGAAAACCCTAAAGAAAGATCAAAACAACAGTTTGAGTCTGTAACTAATGGAAAGTAAGTACTTAGTTAGTGCAAGCTACCATCCATGTCCCAGTAGCATTGGCTACAAAGATCAGGTGGAATTATGAAAAGAAAAATGTCAGAGGATGCAGACTGTTTGATTCAGTATGAGATCTCGAGTTTTGATGTACATGCCTTGTTCTAGACTGGTGACAGACTGACAAGTCAGTATTGCTGACTTAAAGCTTTTGTCCAGCATATGGTTGTTTAAACTTTTTATGTGAATGTTACCTTGGTTAAGTTAAACCCTTTTTCAGGTCAAAAAGTCAAAGGTTAAAATATCACTGGGAACTGTAATAACAGACCTTTAGATCAATTAGCTTTGATGTAGGAACTTCAAACATTGTATGTAGGAGGTCTACCTTCCACACCCATTTTTAGGTGAAAAGTTTTTATTGAAAGGTTACATCTTTATGTAGAAATTGTTAAGTACTCATGATATAGCACTGAGAAATGTGATGCACACTGCTTAAATTCTCAGATAGCTGACATGTTAACTGTTGCAACAATTAATTATTTAAAAAAAAAAAAAGGAAAAAAAAAATTATTATTATGTCAGAGCATTATTCCTGTTACTCACCTTCAGGCGTTTAGGTTTAAAATTTAAGTTAAACCTGATTTTCTTCAGGAAAGTACAAAAGTTATATTGCGATCTCTTTAAGTCATAAAGTGGAGAAATATAGAAATTTATTCGCTTGTGGCTCTGACAATATTCCATACTAGCATGAGGTATTGAGTTTTTACAAGAAACAGCCTTTAACCTTTGAAATTAAATATACAAGTAAATTACAGAACAAATAGTGTGTATATATATCATGTGAGCGGAAGAAATATTGACTGAAAACGTGAAATTTATATAGAAATTATAGATCTACATTAGAGACTATCAGGTTTCAGCTTTGAAAAAGAGGAAAACAGAGTTTTAACACATCAAAGCATTATAATTATAATTATCAAAGAAAAAAAAATTGTGAATGAAAATTGAAACCACTTACCTAACATATCCTGCAGTGACTGCAATTGACTGCTTTCCTTTTATAAAGTTATTATAGTTGTTAATGACCTGAACTTTGAACAAAGAATTCATCAAAGATTTGGAATTAATTATGGAGAGAAGACTTAATTTTAAAGCTTGAAATAGAACAATTGTGGTCTTGGAATAAAGGGATTTTTAATACAGTAACAAAGAATTCAATAGAATAAATACTGAATGCTATGGAATAGCTAGGATTGTCAAACATAGCATATGTGAAAGTGTTTCAAAATTTTACAAAATTAAAAAAAGTGTTGTTATAGTTTTTAATGTAAAAGTCTACAGGTTGCATGTGTAATTCAGAAGAACAGTATATATAGTCACATGCAGTCAAGATAGATTCTGATCCAATAAAGCAATGTATTCAAAGCTGCCGAGCGAAATAAAAAATAGTGAAAATTGTTCATAGATAATGGAGTTATTTCAACAATAGAAGATGATCATTCTACTTATAAAGTGATAATAATGGGCTGCGTGTTTAACATAAACCATTATACAACATATGTGGATTTTCCAGCCATGAATCCTCGGTTACTGATAAAAGCAAGGTAACATTACATTGTACATTTTTTATTGCTGTTATAATTATGATTATCTCTTACTATATATGTCACAAAGTAGACAGAGAATAAATATTTCTGGTCAAAATTGTGGAATATTGTTCTTTGAAATAACATAAATGGATATCAGGTATTTGAAATAAAGTTTGTTTGATTTATTATAGTTAAATATTTGTTTGATAATTACTTTAATCAAATGCTCAAGGGATTTACTTGTAACAACTTGATAAATCATACCTTTTAAAGGCTTTATGGTGGTTTCTCAAAACAAAGTGTTTATCAAGAATTTGTTTAAACAGTAGTGTGTCAAAAAAGTTTTATCACAGAGTTTCTAATAAAATTAATTGTTTCAAAGAGTGTACAAAGAGTTTCTCAAAAAAAATGTTTTATCAAAAAGTTTCTCACTAGAATTTAAATCAGAGTTTATCAATAAAACTTAAATCAAAGAGTTCATCGATAAAGTTTCATTCAAGCCAGTGAGTTTCTCAATAAAATTTAAATCAAAGACTAATGCAATTTTAATGTTCTGTAGCTCAAGTCCTATTGCGCATATTTCACGGGTTACTAATGCAATTTTAATGTTCTGTAGCTCAAGTCCTATTGCGCATATTTCACGGGTTTTCCGGTTGAATGATTTTTGGCCGAGTCATGGCCCTTTAATAAAAATTTGGTTTTTATTTGTTTGAGTCGTCAGACCAAACAAATAATGGTAGCGAAATTTCAGAGCCTAATGCTGTCAATTGCAAATGCCTAAAGTAGTGCACTTTTTTGAAGCGGTTACTTCCCTTTATATGTACACTAACGCCAAAAAATTCAGGGGAGATCAATGCGTAAAGATTGTCAAATGACAGGCGCATTAATTTTCAAGCAAAGTTGTTCCCAAATGGTCGAAGATTTCTAATATTGTTTCATTCTTTATAGATATACATGCTTACAGTAAGCTCCATGATTATTTACATCTGTGTTAAACAACAGGTTTAGCGTCGAAATAATAAGAGTTACAAACAAAATGGTTTTCTTCAGACCGTGAACAATTAACTTCAACGTGGCCGAGGGGTTTGCACGCTCGCTTATGAATCGAGAGGTCTGGAGTTCAAATCCCAGTTGAGGCTACTCAATTATCATGTCACTTGTTATTGCACTGGCCTGCCTGTATAAGCTTGCCATTATTGTGCCATTTGTTATTTTGCTCGCCTGACTGTATAAGCTTGCCATTATCAATGCTATAGCTTTGACAAAGTTTAGATTGGTACATTTTATAGCAATATTGTGATGAAGTTTTGTCTGTTGGTTACATAAATACCGTATAAGTGGTTTTTTCTGCGGGCTCCAAATTCTGCGGTTTTTCCAAATTTTGGCATGTTTTAATTTCTGCGGACTTTATTTCTGCGGCACATTCTTTGAACAAAACGTGATTTAATTTCTGCGACTCCTCTTATCAAAGTCTAAGTCACATAACTCTATTTTATTTGCATGTACATATTCGCATTTGTTTATCGTCGTCACCACAAAACTGTACAGTAATTACAAACAATTATATTGTTTACTTGCAAACAAATATAATACGCAACAATAGAAAGGTATGCATCTTTTGATCAGCGTGAAATGACGTGTGAAAAATATACCCCGGTAGTATCTTTAATTTAATAAATCAGATGTCAATTAAAGTATACGACGATTATCTAGCAGTATAACAGTTGAAATGGTTTGAATGATTTAGTGATAAACAAATCTTTAGCATATCTGCAAACACTATATATGCTGTTTAAATTTCTTTTTTCTTAAGTTAGCATAATTAACAATAAGTACATCCTTACAAACACAGAATACATACTTAGCAGACAGCAGTTTTATTCAACTTGAAAACCCGCTAACCGTTATAATCCGTTAGTCGTTATTACTGTAGACGAAACAGATCATAATGTAGTACACATATAGTACCAGGTTAAAAAACAAAAACATGGAGAAATATTCTGCGGTTTTTATTTCTGCGGTGCTGAAACTGACCGCAGAAAACGCAGAAATAAAGTCACCGCAGAAAAAACCACTTATACGGTACCTTGTCCTTTGATGATATTTTTTTCATTCCTTTTATCTTAGGAACATGAAATAAATGCAAGACATTTAATGGATGCTGCATTTCATGTTGTGTTAATTAAACCACTTGCAGTATCTAGTTAAATCTTGAAAAAAAAAAGAAATCTTAATATGGGAATAACGAAGCTAATGAGATTTCCTTGTTACGGCTGATTGATGGATGTTAAATTATACGATTCTGCAAAATTTGAAAAGCGTTTATAATTTGTTTATCTCCTGAATTTTACCAAGCCTTGAATTTGGTATTTGATTTTGGTATCACCCATTTTTGTCACAGTTCAAGGGATTGCAGTGTGAAAGCAATGAACATTGGGTAGCGTCAATTTATAAGTTCAGAGCCTGCTATTATAAGAATATTCACATGCAGACTAACTTGAGAGATAGGTTTAAAGTATATTGAATATTGCAGCTAATGCAATCAATAATTTAATTATATCAAAAATTGGAATAGCATGCATATCCTATTTGACTTAAAGCTTGCATGTTTTTTAAAAGTAACTTTCAGTTGCCAAGACTCAAAAGAAGTCAAACAAACTTTAAATGTGCATAACTTAAAAGATTAAAAGACTCTTGACATACCTAAGGAGGTTATAATGACTTATTGGTTGACACATGTGGAAAAAATATCAGCATCCGAGAGATGTTTTCAGGGGAAAATTAACTCCCTTGTGAAGTATTGATACCAAATAGCTTCCGTATAAATCATGGTATAATCTCAAGTGGTAATAGGTCTTTTGAATAAGATGCTATAGACTTTGCCTCAGTAAGTTTTTTTTTCCTGAATGGCACGGAATTTTCACCCTATCATCAGGGTTATATATATTTAAGGCCAAGATTTCCAATTCAAAATAACCTTTTTTCCCTCAATTCCAAAATAAAAAATAACTATTTAAACTTCTGAAAAATTAAATTGTTTTGACTAAATGTTTCTTAGAAACTTTGACAAACTATGTGATCATGCACATGTATAAAACTGAAGTGTCATGGTGAAAGGCAGTTTTCAAAGTTTTTCAACATTTCCCAGGGGCTTATTCGTAAAGGCCCCAGAATGGAGTAATTTGCATACCTTTTGTACTTTCCTTATATAAATTGTAAATTTGTAAATTATATCTGCTGCTTTATCCTCCAAAATAATAAACTTTTAGTTTGAGTGTCTCCTCTATGCGTTCCCTCAGGTGACTATAAAATGAGCCGTGCCATGAAAAAACCAACATAATGGGTTTGCGACCAGCATGGATCCAGACCAGCCTGCGCATCCGCGCAGTCTGATCAGGATCCATGCTGTTTGCTATCAGTTTCTCTACTTATGTTATAGGGTTTGTAAGCAAACAACATGGATCCTGATCAGACTGCGCGGATGCGCAGGCTGGTCTGGATCCATGCTGGTCGCAAATGCATTATGTTGGTTTTGTCATGGCGCGGCTCAATTTAATGTTAACCCTTATAGTCTTCTAGTTGCCAAGCAAGATCAGCTGGCACATCTGTGCTGAATGATCATAATCTACACTAACTGGATACTCTATACTTATATTGAATGGTTGTGTCCAGATTTAAAGATGGACAAGTCTATTAAGGATATTGTAGGTAATTAAAGGTTAAAACATGCACACATAACGACTTTGTCAACATTGTTGTTTATGTAGGAAACATTGAGAGGAAACTATTAAAGCCCTGACACTGAGATATACAAGTGCCCTTAAATTATGAACATTTGTGAATCCCAATTCTCCAACTTCCCATGAAAGCAAAAAAAGAAGCCATAATTTACAGTGTTGATATTGTCTTCAAGTCCATTTTTTTATGATCTTACTCCTACATAATCCTATGTGTACAATAATGGCAAATTTGGTTGTTTGACACTTTCCTGTGAAAAGACTAATTTGAATTTAGAGTGATTAGTTTTAACAGTATTGCAACACCTACACAATGTCATGCTAATCTCTGAGCTGGTTGTTTTCTTAATTTAAATGAATGAATTACTTGTCTAAAGTTATATTAGATTATATTTTACCACTAATAACATTATACATGGCTACGCAACAAATTACACTTTCTCATATGATCATTAACCAGGTTTTACTAAGGAAAAAACTTGTTATTAGATTGAGGTATGGTGGCGGGCGGACGGGCGTAAACAATTTCTTCTGTGCTCAACTCCTCCTACATTTCTCAAGGGATTTTGACCAAACTTTTACAGAAGTTTTGTCATCATAAGTGCCCTGGTGCATATTGTTAGGGGTTTTGTGATTGGATAATATTTGACCTTAAATTATGGCCCTTTGTTTTTTTTCCTTAAACAGAATATAAAGTGAGCACTTCTTCTCTGCGCAATTCCTCCTACAATTTATTCATGATTTTATACATTGCACATAGTTACATTGTTTGTTGCTTGTATTTCAACATATTTATCTACAATTGTGATAATTGAAAACCTGCAGTGCCATGTTCCATGTGTTGGATCTTTTTTTTATGTTCCTGAAGGGAGGCATATTAAAATTGCACCATCCATCTGTCCATCCGTCTCTCCGTGCGTAACACTTTTGTGCCCGCTCCATAACTTTTAAACCGCTGAAAATATTCTAAAATAACTTGGCACAAGTGATCACCAAAATGACATGATGTGAAGAGCACAAAAATTAGGTTGCTACCCCCAAGGTCAAGGTCATACTTATAGGTCAAATGTTAAAAAATAAAAAGTCTACATTTCCTGTCCGCACCATAAGTTTTAAACCGCCGAAATTTTTTTGAAAAAAAAAACTCGGAACAAGTGATCACCATTATAACAACATGTGCAAAGGGCAATAACTGAATTGCTACCACTAAGTTCAAGGTCACACTTACAGGTCAAATGCTAGAAAGTCTACATTTCCTGTCTGTCCATAACATTTAAACTGCTGCAATGTTTTTATGATAACTTGGCAGAAATGATCACCATTATGACACCATTGGCAGAGCACAATAATCAGATCACAACCCTGAAGGTCAGGGTCACACTCAAAGGTCCAATGTAAAAACATCTATCAGCTCTATAACTTATTGACAATTTAAAGGTTTTAAAATTACTTGGCACAAATGATCCCCACCATGACACCATGACACAATCTGCAGAGCTCAACACCCAAGGTCATTAAGGTTATATGTTCTCCATAACTTTTTGACTTTATGGAAGATTTTAAATGACTTGGTACAAATAATTGCCATCGTGAGACCATGTGCTTATGATTTGCATGACACAACATTAAGGTCATGGTTGGTAAAAGGTCAAGAAGTACACATTCATGTTCAGTGCAGAAGTTGATTTAGCTGTCCTATATATATACAGACTGCTTTGTACATATTATTCTGATGTGTTTAAATTACTTTTTGATAGCTAAAAGTCTTCTTAAAACCAAATTTCAAAACATAAAACTTATAGCTAATCCCCTGTCTGCCAGCTTATCCTAATAGTTATAGCATCTAAGTAGTGCAGGGGTCACTGGTTTGATCCTCTGGTGGGGGCGTAATTTCTCTATGACAATATTATTGGTATAATGGTCATTTGTCTCTCACAGCTGATTCAGAAGTCATGTGGCATAAATAGTTGCCCACATTCAGGTAGCTTACAGAGAAATTGGTAATTAATTGTTAGTTATCCAGGAATGCTTATTTGGACTGGACTGACCTCTGAGATACAAGATATTACGATTATTACCCCCCCATAAAAGTGTTAAAATCATTGTTAAAAACAAATATTAGCTGTCCTTAGTATAATGTAATTATAAATACAATATTTATGCTTAAATGTTTGGCTTGTTCAAGAATTATCTTATGAGGCTATATATCATTGTTTTGTTAATTACTGTTAATACTGATATAAATGACTTCAAGAAGTAAAGGGCGCTCATGGCATTTACCAAGGTAATAATGAAGAAAAATGGATGAGAAAGTAATAATTTGTAAATAATTTACTTACCAGACTTTATCTAGCTATATACAATATAGTACTGCAATTGCCTGCTTTATAATTGTAAAGCAGGCAATTGCAGTCTGTAAAGGAAAGTGGTAGGTCTCTTTGGGCATTGAGCTCTAAAGGAGCAAGACTTTAGACTTTTTTCAGCAATGTGGTGTCATTCAGACTCCTTTAATAATTCAGTAAGAAGGGCATAAGGTGTATAAACTTGGAGCTCAGGAGTTTTAGAGCAGCTGGTATAAGGCAAGCAGTTTTGTCAGTCATTTCTCTCTTTAGCTGGCCTTGCTTGGTTGTATCAGCAATGGGACAAGGTAAAGTGTGTTTGAGTGTTATAGATATCATGCAACCAAAGGCATGCATATTTTCAGAAATTTTCTTCAATGGTTCTCAGTTATAATGAGAAATTTACATCTTAGGACCTACATTTGTGAGTTACAGTCCTTTGGGAGACATATGTCTTTCCGTGAACATTACTTTGATGTGATTATGTCTTAAATGGCAGTCATTCTAACACCACAGTTAAGAAAGTAACTGAGAAAGAAGAACTGCACTATGATCCAGTTATGCAAGTATAATTAAGGCAGGGTAATGCAGACTAATATAACAAGGGAAGTCACTCTAAACATACTAAAATTTATTTAAATTTACTTATTAAAGTATGTCAGCAACGGCTGTTTATGATTTCTTCACAAAATTAAATTTGAAATATTTCTTACTTTACATATTATAATAGCATCTAGAAGAAGGAAATTAAGTTTGAAACTTGATTAAGATTTTCAAATACGTTATAGACTTGATTAAAATTTAAATGTTAAGCTTTTCTCTGTTAGAACTCCTACGCTTTAATAAATTACATTGAGTCCCAGGTGTAACGGTGTAGGTGTATTTACTTTAATAAATAAAGATTTATTAGCATCATCTTCCTAGTAATTTAGTACCACAGTTTCTCTTTTCAAGGAAATTTATAATCACAAACATTGTGAGATTGTTGCCATGCATTATGATGAAGTTCTGTTTTCTGACCTATATTCACAGAAATACTCTTTGAATGTTCTAAACTCAGGTGCTTTTTATTTTGTGTTTCAAGATCAAAGCAATGGAATTAAAGTTGTTTATAGGAATATATGTAGGAAAATTGTTACAGTAAACCTTTCACATCAAATGACTTAAATTGAGTTCTGTTTTTCTATTATATATATATATATAATAAATATATTATATATATTTTACTTAATGCATTTTAGCTAGCTTCAATGAAATTTATGTAACAATAGACCAGTAAACACAATGCCCAATTTGTCATTTTTAGCTCACCTGTCACAAAGTGACATTGTGAGCTTTTGTGATTGCTTTTCGTCTGGCGTCCAGTTGTCCATCTGGCGTCCGTCCGTAAACTTTTCTTTAAACAACATCTCCACATAAACTGCTCAAACTTCACAAGAATGTTCCTTTGGTTGTCAACTTTTTCAAAGAATTTAATTCCAAGCAGAACTCTCTCTAGTTGCCATGGCAACTGAAAGAAAAAACTTAAAATATCTTCTAAAATAAATCTGTCCTGGGCTTGAGTCGTTGAACGTTTCCAACCTCCGGCATGGCCCTGCAAGACATTTCCATTCATTTGGAATCCAGTTCATTCCACATCCTGGAGACAACGCTCTGGGATACCCCAAGGACATGGGCAACATGTCTTTGTGAACAGCCAGCCTCCAACATTCCAATACCCCTGTTCATCTCATCTTCACTAATACAACGTCTAACCTGTCGATTTGCCATAGTTTGTTAATTTCAAACACAGTTTTACAATAAAACGCGAGAAGTCTTGCTGGTAACGTACACATTTAAGTGAAAGCACATGGCCATAAAAGACCAAATTTCCATGGATATGCTTTTCCACGTGCTTATTGTGCAAGGTGTACATGACAAAATGATAACTTAAGTACACAATTATAAGGTCCCTGTACAGGTGTAACGTTAGCAGGAATATGATTTTAATATGATGATAATAGGACTGAAACATAAAGGTGATCCTTGGCAAATTTTGAGTTGTATAGTTGAGCATGCTATCGTACTGACACCTCTTGTTTTTGAAACCCTAACAGAGAAATCATCGTACACAATAAATACATCAATAACCTTACCCCTCTAGTTCCCCAGAGTTTTTATGTAACATAATTGTCAAAACTTTACAGATAAAGATGTGGACAAAGTGAGAACCTCCTGTTTTCTGCCAGGACTTCAACAGCCAAAAGATATTTCATTTGTCTCAGCTGTTGTTAGAGTCACAACTAATTTTACACCTACTCTTCTAGTGGCATGAATTATTAAATTCTTCCTCAAGGTTTATTTATATCTTTTTCTTTCTTAAAGCAACAATCACTATAAAGCAATCAGGTAAAATGATATTAAAGTCTCTTTATTAATTTTGAGCTATTTCTGTTTATTTTTTGTTGTGAGAAAATGTGGGGTTTAACATTGTACTTTAGAGAGCATCATGTGTTTGAATGTCGGTCACCTAGTTGATTGCTCACTTTAAGTGCCTTCTTGTATCCCAGTTGGTTGGCCTTTTAGGGCCTTAGTTGGTTGGCCATCATTTAGGGCCTTTGTTGAGCTCATATTTAGTTGGCCTTTTAACATTGGTTCATCTTTTAAGGCCTTCATTGGTTTGACCTCTTTTAGCTCATACTTTAAAGTTGGCCTTTTAGCTCATGGTTGGCCTACTGTTAACTCTTACCTGATTGTGTTCCTTTAAGGGTCCTAGTTGATTAACTTATATTAGAATCCTTGTTGATGGACCTTCTTTTAGGGCTATAGTAGGTTGGCTGGCTTTTTGGTTGTTCTCCTGTTGGGCCCTAGCTTGTTGGCCTACTTTTATGATCCTAGTTAACTGATCTGCTTTTAAAAGGTCCTTGTTTGATACCTGCCCTGGTTTTAGAATGCAGGTTGGTTGGTCTGGTATAAAAGTCAAAGTTTAATGGCCAGCTTTTTGGTTTCTTTTTGATTGGTCTGCTTTAAAGATCAATATGTCAAAAGCATGGGTAACCCTTGCCCAGACAATTAAAGTAATATTCTTGAGTGATAATGGAAGGCATTTATCCTTTTTTCTCAAACAGATTTCCCTGATGTGTGAACTCATAATTGCTTATAATTTAAAGTATGTTAATCTTATTTTGGTGTATATAGGTGGTATAGAAACAATTCTAAATATAGCAATCACTCTGATTTTACTTGGTACAGTTTCAGATCAGTTATTTTAACCTTTGTCCAAATTAATTTGTATTTCAGTGGACTTGTTCAACTTTTAATTGTCATTGTGTACAAGGGATATAGGGTGACCATCATAATGCCACAAGCATTCAAGGGTTTATTCTGTTTTCACTCTCTTTAATGTTCAATGGGAATCACTTTTTGATGATTAAAAGTTTAGTCAAAGATCTGATACAGTTTTATATGAGGCTTGGATATTTGAGACATAACTGTGATATTGTATGATGATATATCATAATGAAATCTATTTGCCTCATGGAAAGTGGTCCCTTGTGCCTGAAGGGTTGCCTTTAATGGTTGAGGCATAAGAATGGAAGCCAACATTTATCCCAGCGTGATTGTAAGAGACAACTAAATGGGTTCGAATTACTGGAGTCTCTGACAAACTCACCGTCTCTTAATTCTCCGGGAGGGGAGTTGGTTTTGACCCCTGGCATTCCTTTAAAGTTTGTAATGTGGAAGCTTTTTTGTACCAAACACATACTTTCACACATTGAATCCTTATGGTTATAATTTTTATGATTTTAATTCAAATTAAACCAGATTAGTTATTTACTATACTTGACAATGTTTGTTTTGATCTTGCAGACCAAGTGAAAGAACAGGGGAAGATTTAGATATCATCTATTCTAGATTGAAGGATATAAAGGTATTTGAAAAGTTCCATCCCATGTTACTACAACAGATCTGTTACTATGGTTATTATGAAGATCTGGAAAAAGGTGTCACCTGTAAGTTATATTTTATTTTTATTTCCTTGCAGAACTTTAGAGGATAATTGTTTGTTTTCAGTAGATTCAACAAATACAGTCATATCAGTCCCCATGTTACCATTGGGGGCATAAGATATTTCAAAAACATAAGAATATGGTACATGTATAAGTTAATAAACTTATAAACACACAGTTGCTAAAAATAGAAAATTGGTTTCCTGTCCATAACTAGAGTTTGGAATTAGATATTTGCTTGACATTGCTTTTGGATCCCTCAGGGTCATTTAGTTCACTGTTACTAAAAATAGAAAATTGGTTTCCGGTCATGAGATGTTTCAATGAAACTTAGGTTATAGCAAACTTATGTGATGACCTTGTTTTGCTATTGCATTTGGGCCCTTTGGGTCAAGGTATCTGTTACAAAACTAGTGTTTGGAGTGAGATATTTCAGTGAAACTTGGTGATTGAAGAATTTTTTTGCTCGCTTTGGATTGCTTTTTCCCCCCAAAGGTTAAGTTTAAGGTCACATTATTTAACTTCAATTTCTGATCAATAACTGGAGGTTGGAATAAGATATTTCAATGAAACTTGGTGTATAGCAAGCTTATGTGAAGACCTTCCTTTGATGTGTTTTTGGGTGCCTTAAGGGTCAAGGTTATGTTTACTAAAAAAATAGCACATTGATTTCCAGTCAATAACTAGATTTAGGAATCAGCGATACTTTAATTAAGCTTTCCTTTTTGAAAGCCACACTTTGGATTGGTTTTTAGTCCCATAGGATCAACTTCAAGGTCATTTTTACTAAAAATCGAAAATTGGTTTCAGTTTGATAAGTAAAGTTAATAGATTAAAAAAAAATACCTTACTAAATGTTATAGCAAGCTTATGTGAAGACCTCATTTGGGATTGCTTAGGCCCAGCTCCCCTAGGATCAAGGAATATAATATTATTATGCTCCCCGAAAAATTTCGGGGGAGCATATAGTCGCCGCCTTGTCCGTCCGTCCATCTGTCCGTCTGTCCGTCCCCTTTTCTTGTCCGGGACATAACTTTAACAATAGGTATCAACCTGAAAATTTGTAGATAGATAGATCTCATTGAGTAGGTGTGCAGTGCACAAGACCCGTAACTCTGCCATGCCTAATTTTTTAATTATTCCCCTTTGTTTATTTCTTTGAACTTTGTCCGGGACATAACTCTTAAAGTATAAGAGGTATCAACATGAAACTTTGTAGGTAGATAGATCTCATTGAGTAGGTGTGCAGTGCACAAGAACCGTAACTCTGCCTTGCCTAATTTTTGCATTATTCCCCTTTGTTTATTTTTACATTTTGAACTTTGTCCAGGACATAACTGTAAAACTATAAGAGGTATCAACATGAAACTTTGTAGGTAGATAAATCTCATTGAGTAGGTGTGCAGTGCATAAGAACCGTAACTCTGCCTTGCCTAATTTTTTAATTATCCCCCTTTGTTTATTTTCACACTTTGAACTTTGTCCAGGACAAACCTCTAAAACTATAAGAGGTATCAACATGAAACTTTGTAGGTAGATAGATCTCATTAAGTAGGTTTGCAGTGCACAAGAACTGTAACACTGTCTTGCCTTCTTTTGGAATTATTGCCCTTTGTTCATTTTGACACTTTGAACTTTGTCCGGGACATTACTCTAAAATTATAAGAGATATCAACATGAAACTTTGTAGATAGATAGGTCTCATTGGGTGGAAGTGCAGTGCTTAAGAATCATTACTCTGCCTTGCCTTATTTTGAAGTTATTACCCTTTGTTTATTTTTACTTTTTGACTTTTGTCTTGGACATAACTTTAAAACTATTAGAGATATCAACATGAAACTTTGTAGGTAGCTAGATATAATTGGATAGAACTGCAATGCTTAAAGAACCTAAACAAAGCCTGGTCTAATTTTGGAGTTATTGCGCTTTGTTCATTTTTACACTTTGAATTTTACCTGGGACATAACTCTGATATCATCAGGAAACTTTATAGATTGATAGATCTCATTGAATAGAAGTGCAGTGCAAAAAACATAACTCCGCCTTGCCTAATTTTGGAGTTTTTGCCCTTTGTTCATTTTTTTTATACATTCCTGCGTCCAGAACCTTCTCGGGGAGCATCACCCAGTTCAACCGGTTCTTGTTTTTTCGATCTGCTGTTATTACAAAAAGCTTACTTATATCTTTAATTTGTTTCTTCATTATTTATCATTTACATTGCACATAGTTACATTGTATGTTGCTTGTATTTTTATTCTGACAACAACAAAACTTTCCACAATGGTGATAATTGAACACCTGGTTTTGTGGCAATGCAACATTTCTTGTTTATTTCTCTTTCAGTGTTTAGACAAGGTGACATAGGGACAAATTGGTATACTGTGCTGTCAGGATCATTAGAAGTACAAATTTCTGAATCCGGCGATCTTGCGGTTAGTGTTTGTAAATCATGAGAATCCAAAAGATTAGTGTTTCAATTCATTTATATATTTGGGTTTAAAAGGAGCTTAACTGAGGTCAAAAACCTAAAAAAAAGTAAAGTTTGAAATTTCTACATAGATTAAATGAAGCACTTAATATAGAAAAATCTGCTGAAGCGCTTAATATAGAAAAAATCTGCTGAAGCGCTTAATATAGAAAAATCTGCTGAAGCGCTTAATATAGAAAAATCTGCTGAAGCGCTTAATATAGAAAATCTGCAAATGATGATGAAGAAAAATTCTCAGAAATATCAATATTTTTTGCAACTAAAAGCTTGGTTTGAGTGAAAAGCAATGCAACGTTTTTCATTTTTTCGATCATTTTGTGCCATAAAAATGATTATTCTGGTAATACTGGTAGAGAGAATGATCAGAAAACTTACACACAAGTTATTGGTGCCGACCTATATTAAGTGGAACACAAAAGTCTGTCATCTGAAAAAAACAAACTTGAGTCGAGTCACTTTAAGTTACATCAACACTAAGTGAGCCGCGTCACGACAAAACCAACATAGTGCGTTTGCGACCAGCATGGATCCAGACCAGCCTGGGCATCCGCGCAGTCTGATCAGGTTCCATGCTGTTCGCTTACCAACTCTATTACAAGTAGAGAAACTGATAGCGAACAACATAGATTCTGATCAGACTGTGCGGATGCGCTGGTCGCAAATGCACTATGTTGGTTTTGTTGTGACGTGGCTCAAATGATCATTGTTGCTCTAGGATGCAAACAAAACAGTTGTATAGTAAGGGGCAGGCGAACCCCAGTAGATTCCCTTAGCATGATTGTTAAGTTGTATACATTGTCACATGTTCGTGACACGTTAATGAGTAAGAAATATACCAATGAAAGTAAAACCTTACATAAACAATATGTTTACATGACCATAAATAACTGAACAAAACAGTGAGTACTATTGCTGTTTACATTAATATCAGGTTTGTAGTACTTTTATCATAACTGGGTTCACAGTACTTTTGAGACCATGTGTTTGACAGCTGTCACAATTTTTAATTAATTTCTTGTCCCATATATGGTCAGTTGACTATCTAGTACATTACCCTATATAAAGTAAGCATATTTTTTGTAGCACAAATGGAACTTAAAGAGAAACAAAAATAGTACTGTTGTAAATTGTACACTGTTCTAAAGACTCCCTGCATGCTCTTGTTTTAAAGGTGTGGAGGATGCCAAATACAAATATTTGGAGCCAATCCAAATGCCAAACATCAAAAGTGGAAGTTCTTTAATTATTTGTCCTTGTTTGCAAATATAATGTTATGTTTGTACATGCATACCGTAGTTTGATAGAAGTTGAAATACCATTATCGTCTTTAGAAATTTGTTGGCTTTTGTGTAATTATTTGCTATAATTGTGATGTACAGGACAACCTCTGTACAGCAACCATCTATCTGAGACAAATATATTGGTTCCATACTGCAGAGAGATCTTAAAAAAAAATAGAACAAGCAAATTTTCTTGTCCGAAGAACGAATCCCAACATGTCAATATCCCACACCTCATTGACATAATGTACCCTGACCTGGGTAATTATCTTTGTTTACAGGAATCTGTGACATGACCAGTAGGGCCTGGATAACTATATCTGTTTACAGGAATCTGTGACATTATGTACAGAAGGACCAATTATCTTTGTTTACAGGAATCTGTGACATTATGTACACTAGAACCAATTATCTCTGTTTACAGGAATCTGTAACATTATGTACACAATGACCAATTATCTCTGTTGACATTATGCACACAAGGACCAATTATCTGTTTACAGGAATTTGTGACATAATGTACATAAGGACCAATTATATGTTTACAGGAATCTGTGACATTATGTACACAAGGACCAATTAAATGTTTACAGGAATCTGTGACATTATGTACACAAGGACCAATTATCTGTTTATAGGAATTTGTGACATAATGTACACAAGGACCAATTATCTTTGTTTACAGGAATCTGTGACATTATGTACACTAGAACCAATTATTTTTTGTTTACAGGAATCTGTAATATTATGTACACAATGACCAATTAATTTTGTTGACATTATGTACACCACGACCAATTATTTGTTTACAGGAATTTGTGACATTATGTACACAATTACCAATTATCTGTCTACATGAATCTGTGACATTATGTACAATTGGACCAATTATCTCTATAACAGGAATCTGTGACATTATGTTCACTAGGACCATTTATCTCTATTACAGGAATCTGTGACATTATGTACATTAGGACCTGGGACTTCATTCGGAGAGTCTGTACTTACTAACCGACCACGTCATGCTACAATTATAACCAGGGACAACACTGAATTGATCCGTGTCGAACAGAAGGATTTTAAGATTCTCTGGGAGGTATATTAATATGTTTTTATATCCATTTATCTATATATACATGTATAATTATATAACATGCATATTGGGTTTTTTGATGGGTTATATGATAGATATAGTACCTGATGAAGCCACTAGGCAATTAACCAGTTATAACCTGTCAAAAATCAGTCTAAGAAATGTCATGTAGCAGAATTTCTTCTGTTAGGGAAAATTGAAGATTAATTTATTCATAAATTTACAGCATCAGTGTATATAAATTATAATAATTGTGATAATTGTAAGTATGATTATCAAATGAAAATTGATGTTACAGATTTAAGTATTTAAACTTTAAGTGCCAATTATATAAATATTACATATTTGATTCCACTACTTTAACATGCAAAAATAAGACAAGGCTTTTGTACAATGATGTCAGTTTGGCACCAATTTGATTAAAATGAAAATTTGCCTTCTTAGTGTCAAAAGTTACAGAACATTCTTGAAAGATTAATAGGAAAATACAATTTTTTTGAAAGCAGTGATTTTTATGTGGAGGGTGGGGGTCAGAGGGGAAACAATTTCCAGCCTAGAATTAAAGCAATTGATGTAATATTTGTTTTTATTCTCCCTATATTTAGTTTATTGCTGAGTTAGCCTCCTGCTAGTTAATTGAAAAGTTATTTATGCAGACATAACAGCCTGTCAAATGTGTCAGTTACACTTATTGGAACACTTATACAACTAAAATAAAAACAAAAACCTATTAATATGTTTTATGAATTTTCAAAATAGATTTAGCTGATCATAAGAAAAAAAGGGCTGTTAAAAAGTTTGTGAAATGTCATAACGTCCTTAAATTTGATGAATATTTTTACTTCAAATTTGGTCAAAGTCAACATGCCATACCATAGGCACATATCACCTAATTCTTATAATCTATCAATTATTTAATATACTGAAATTTATATGTGGCACAAGTAATGCATTTTCCCCAGGCTCTTTTCCTTGGGTTATTTCAGAATTATTAAATTATTGTAATATTAACTCTAAATTATTATAATAATAAAGTTTATGCAGTGCTTCAAGTAGCATGAGAATTTTAGAAAATGGAAAATATTGACTCCAAGACAATTGGTGTGATGGAAGAATAGCTGAACTTGTCAATAAAATTAATGGTGTCTATCCTGATATAACATTTTAAGTCAGAATTGAATAGTATTACTTTATCATATGCTTACATCCGCCCTCCTCATGTGTCCATTGATGCTGATATAACTCTAAGAGACAACTCAAAATTAAGATCACCTCACTTTAAAGACAGTCACATTACTTGGGAACTTCTGCATATAAATTATTACATAAATTGGTTGGAATTTTTGATAACATGATAAAATTCCATGGACTTTTTGAACAGTCCCCATGTGAACTTCATTTATAACTGTGTTTCAATTACCCACGGCATGTTGCGTTTCTACAAAAGATTTCATGAGTTTCCAAGATTTATTTTACAGATATGTCACGAAAAATGATTAATCTTACTTTAAATTTTTTTTTATCAAAAAATACAACCATGGCAAGTTGCTTTTCTTTGCAATTGTCATGTAGCTACATTCACATAATTTGAATTCTCATCATGTAAGTTAAGTAACTTATCTATTCAAATGATAATTACATTTACAAAGGAGATAATTTCAGTGTGGCGTTAATGAGATTATTTTTGAGACTGTCACAAAATGCTTGTGAAGGTAGATGTGCTGTAAATCTTTAAGATAACTGCTAGTCAGAACTGTCATTAGCATTCACTAGTTGTTCTATATATAGAAATATTATCCAAGGAGATTCTCACGCTAGACGATGATTAAAGAAATTAGGACTGGTTAAGTAACACATGTAGTGTAAACAAATGTGCCATAGCGTTACGATGACATATTTTGAAAAGTTTCGATTTTCTTTGAGAAAGGTAATGATTTTAATTTTCTTTGTAATTCAGATTTCTTTATATAACAATTTTCTTTTAATATGTTTCAATTTTCAATATTATATGTTTTTATATATTTTACAATTTTCTTTCTGAAAAAGGGAACAATAGTGATTTTTTCTTAATGATTTTCCTATTTTTTTTTTATCTAAAGAATTTTTTTAAAAGTATGATTATGGTGTTGGGTAGTTATAAAGGGGGGTAATCATTCTTAATAAAGGACCTTGATTGACAGAAGATTGCCTTCAAGTAATTAGTTATACATCAGCTCTAAAATTAAGATATAGCCTTCATAAAACCAAATAATTACTTTAAAAATATTGCTGATTATATTTAAGCCTGCTAATTGCAACAAAATTAACCAATGCAAAAAGTTCTGATTACCTTTTCACTAATTGCGTCAGCTACGTGTTTTTATAAATTTTCCTTCAAGTGATGAATGGTTTTATCCAGCATGTGAGATGGACAAGTCCATGTTATGTTTTTAGGATCTGTAGCATGGTATAAAGGGTTAAATGAATAAAGTTTGTTGATGATAAAAGGTTCAAGCTTTGAAATGTGAACTATAAAAAGTTTTATGCTTTACTTAACATAATACTATAAAGATTTTTGACAGAAAAACAAATAACATTTAAATATATTTTAGAAGCAAAAACTAATTTATTATTATAGATTCAAAACAAAATTGATTAAATTTAAAAGCAGAGAGAAGTTTTGATGATTTTCAGCTGCAACCTTCACCTACCCAATTATTTACGCTTTTTAGATGCAAAAAAAAAAAGATTTTAAAATCAGAGTAAAATAAATAATTCAATGTGAATCCACCAAGCAATTGAATGATTCAAAATGGATGCAAAAACTAATAACTATTTAGTTTAAGTGACATAGTCAGGACATTTGGGAATTTATGTACTGTACCGTATTTATTATTAAAAAGACTTTACTAGATATGGCATAATTGCAGGTCATATGTCAAATATATAGCAAAAAAGTTGCTACACGTATCTATGATGTATAATTTAATTTTTAACTACAACCTCGTGTAGAAGGCATAATAAATTACTACAAAAATTCAATAAAACTTTTAACTAGTATTAAAATAATTCACAGTGAATTTATAAATAAAATAAATGTTGTGAGTTGCATTCATAATTAATTGATAACCTATATCAACATCTAAATTTATTTAATTGACTGATATAGTCCAGATTTAAATATTTGAGACTGTCCATTACATTTTTAAAGGGGTTACCTATGCACACTTAAATGTTTTGAATTGAATTCAGTCTGGCTTGCCTTTATATATACTAGTGGTTACAGTTGCAGGTAATGTATGTTCCCTGCTGCTATTATTATACATGTAGAATCAATATGAAATTTGATGAAGAGTTGATATACAAATATATATTGACAAGTCAGGTGAATGCACCATAGTTCAAACCAAGTTTAAAATATATCACCTTAATAACTTAGAAGTGTGTGTGTAGTTATACTGTAGTGAGATATGGACTTTTTCTTTAAAAAGGTTGGTAATGAAATATAATAATAATAATGAGAAAAATCAAATTACAGTTGAGTTTTTTAAACACGACATATTACACTTACCTGTGAAATGAAATATGTAATAATGAGAGAAAAAAACATACAGAAAAATATTTTTTAATGTACTTCTTGACTTTTACATACAACATATTTATATGAGACAAAAAAAATAAATATAATCACTTGATATATATGTAAGTCTTTTGTATTGGTATAATTATGTCACCCTAAGTTTCCTTTAAGGACAAATTTAGAGTGAAGTTAAAAAGTTATTTTCTCTGTAACTTAACCACTTAAGTCTTATATAGGGCCAGCAACATGTTACCAATGCAGTTTGACCAATAAACACCCATATAGTGTGACCAATGAACACCCATGTAATACGACCAATGAACACCCATATAGTGTGACCAATGAACACCCATGTAGTACGACCAGTGAACAATCATGCAGTATGACCATTCACCCATGCATTGTAATCAGTGAACACTCGCACAGTGTTACCAGTGAATACCAATGAGGTATGACCAGTGAACACCCATATAGTATGACTAGTGAACACTAATGCTTTATGACCAGTGACCACTTTTGCTTTATGACCAGTGAACACTAATGCAGTATGACCAGTGAACCTCCATGCAGTATGACCAGTGAACACCCATGCAGTATGACCAGTTAACACCCATGCAGTATGACCAGTAAACACCCATATATCATGTAAAAAATGAAAACACATGCAGTATGACAAATGAACACCTATGCTGTATGACCGGTGAACACCTATGCAGAATGACCAGTGAATACTTAAGCAATTTGACCTGTAAACTTCCATGCAGTATGTCCAGTGAACCTGCATGCTGTATGACCAGTGAACACAATGCAGTATGACCTGTGAACACCCATGCAGTATGACCAGGGAACACCCATATAGTATGTCAAATGAACACACATGCAGTATGACAAATGAACACCCATGCAGTATGACCAGTGAATACTTATACATTTTGACCTGTAAACTTCCATGCAGTATGTTCAGTGAACCTGCATGCAGTATGACCAGTTAACACCCATGCAGTATGACCAGTAAACACCCATGCTGTATGTTCAGTGAACACCTATGCTGTATGTCCAGTAAACACCCATATAGTATGTTAAAAAAGAAAACACATGCAGTATGACAAATGAACACCCATGCAGTATGACCAGTGAACACTTATACATTTTGACCTGTAAACTTCCATGCAGTATGTCCAGTGAACCTGCATGCTGTATGACCAGTGAACACCCATGCAGTATGACCAGTGAACACCCATGCAGTATGACAAGTGAACATCCATGCAGTATGACCAGTGAATTTTCATGCAGTATGAGCTTGCTCAGGGTGAGCTTTTAGGATTGTTGAATATCTATCGTCTGTCCACATTTGTTTGTTAACACTCTAGCGGTCACATTTTTGCCTCAATCATCATCAAACTTTGTTAAGATGCTTGTCTAGTTAATTGCTCGGATGGTCATCTGGATGAAA